AGGAATGTGCAGTGCTGTTCTTCCACTAAAGGTGAATGCAATGTTTGAGGCATGCAAATATTATTTGAGGACGCCATTGTGATGTTCATTTACCATGTTGCGGTGTTCTGCTGTTAAACAGCTGCAAAGATCCCCGGGTAGACGGGAGCAAAACTGCACACAATCGAAACCTCCCGCGATTCGTCTTGTCTAATTGTCTGTGTGCAGCTCTCCTGGACTGAAGCTGTGAGCACAACTGTGGCGTCGCGCATGCGTCTGTTTCCTGACACAATCATCCATTTTGAATGCGTGTGTGTTGGTATAGACGCGTGCTGACGCTTATGTATGGGCACACCTTAAGTTCGGAGGAGCCAATCAGCGCATCGTTATCGCCGACATGCCCTGCTCAGCCAGGGTCTCCAGTTAGTCAAACATTATACAACACACAGTCGCACTGCTGCGGTCCTCTGCAATACATCTGTTAGTGCACGCAAACAATACAACGGATAATTTTAACAAGCGATCGCGGTAATGCACAGATTATAGTCCACAAATATAAAATGTATAACGTAAAAATCACTTTATAATTTATTATTTTATACAATTTGCCGAGGGTCCGGACAGAGGAGGTCCGGACAGAGGAGGTCGGCGGTCCGGTCGTGGATCGCGGTCCGCCAGTTGAGGAAGGCTGGTGTAGGATGTGACGCTCAGCAAAGGCATTATCACCCACTCGTGTACTGTCCTAGTCAGCTCTCTCCCACTCAGCCTAATTTAGCCCTGTCCACAACCACACTGTCTGGGCCTACCACGCATGGTGTCAGGTGCCTTGTGGCAGTCAGCAAAATGCTTTGCCCAGCTGCCGTGTTTAGAGGCTCTGTGGCAAATGAACACGCGCACACACACACACGCACACACACACACACACACACACACACACACACATTGCACATGGACACATGCAAGCAGACATCCCCCCGCTTAGATGAACCAATGAAGGGCCCCGACCTGTTTCACTGCACTCGCAGCAACGTCGCCCCGAATCACATGGCTCCTCGGAACCGACTGACTCACCCGCTCATCCCTTCCGACAAGGCGGGGCTGGGGGGTCGGGGGCGGCTAGGTGACGTCACTAAGGAAAAGTTGCATGGTCCCTATGTGACGGTCTTCATCTCACCTCGACCTGAGCGCTCCCCGCCTAACCAGCATATTTTAAAAAAATAACAAAAACACATAATTAAGCTTCAAGGAGTTCATCATTTGAATAAAAATAAAGCAATGCGTCAAACACCCTTTGGTCCTACATGGTAAGCATAATAAGAGCTGAAGCATGCTCATTTTCCTCGCAGGCCCGCAGTTGTTGTTGGTAGGTGTGTTTTGGTTTGTGTGTGTGTGTGTGTGTGTGTGTGTGTGTGTGTGTGTGTGTGTGTGTGTGTGTGTGTGTCTGATGCACGGAGTGCTACAACGCGCATCAGACACATAAACTCGCACATGAAGAGAACTTAATTAGAGAAAACAGCGCTGTCAGAAGCATTAGGCCGAGGTACGCACTTAAGGGCATATGGTTTTAGTACTACAGCATCGGCTTGGAGAAAAGCACACAAACATACCTCAAAGCTGGGAGCCATGCTAATGAAATCACTCTCTTTCCATCCCACTGGGAGCAAACACAAATGTTTACAGACATCGCACAGTCTGTCCGTATACTCGTGCACCACGCTGGGCTGTCGGCAGAAGGTGAGTGCGCCGACCGGGCTGCTGGTCTGCGCGGAAACACTCCGTCAGACAATAAGTGTCTTGTTCATGTGTGATAATTATTTGCACTCGTGGCAGGTTCCGTTCCATTCTGTCCTATTCTGCTGGTAAAACACTTCATTTTATATCCACTGACTAATAATGAGAAGCAACGTGGTACAAAGTGCAAAGAGTGAATGCAGTTTTCATTTGGGGTTATTTAGCTCTCTTAGTGCAAAGTTTAAAAGTTAATTGAATTCAAAATTTCAAGTTCAATATGATTTTAAGATGGGCCATTCAACTCCATTTTGTTTTCTTTTGTGAAAGTTGGCCTTCCTGCATTTTACAACAAACAAACCTCAAACTAAAGCTAAAAGTTAAGCTCAGCAGATTCTTTTGGAACGAACAATTGGCTTGAGGTGTTGTGATAATTAACATCAATCAACGTCAATAAATGTGTATAT